CCTGTTCTCTGTGACCTGTCCCTGCCTTCAGCATCTGCTCTCCACAGCAACCAGACAAGGCCCTTCAGTCTTTGAATTGTAACCAAGTTGTTGACAGCCTTCAGTTCTTTCATGGGCAGATTTAGCTGAACCCATTAATGAGGGTAATCCTACTGATCTGTGCAACCTTACTCTTCGATAAGACCATTCATCAGTGGTATCAACTGAAATCAACAATAGGATTTATTAACACAGCAATAAAAATAGCACAAATGCTTTATTTTCACTAAAGGCAAAATGTAGGAATGAGGCTGTGGTTCAGCTCAGTGCATTTTGTACTGGGGTAAAAAACCCACCAAACACTTTGATCACAAAACACCAAGCAATGATCAGATGTATACTCACTCCATCAGTTACTCTTTGTACAGAAAAAAATAGTTAACTTTTAGCCCTGTCATTCAGTACTGCCATTGCTCTTCATAGGCCACAAACTTTGTAGTGAATTTTCAAGGCCTCAGGCCACTCTTGCTTTGCCTGAACTTTTCTTGGCCTGCCTGCAGCTTTGTTTTAACTGGTTTAGGTGTGACTGCGATTTCTGTAACTGGCCAGGTGCGTGTATCTACTTTGTTTTATTTTTGTTTGTGTGAGGTACAACCATAGTTTTGCACAGACAACGGTTGCAAGCAGCTATTCTACACAGATTAAAACACTCACCAGTAATGTAGTAACTTTGTATAGAGAAATACAACAGCCTGGTATCACAGCAGAGGTCTGGAGAAGTAGAGACACGGGATGTGGCATAGAGGAGTACAGGAATAAGAGGAGAAATTGGGCTCAAGATTGGCACTGGAGACCATGGCTATAAACGACTCACCAACAATCAGCCAAAGAAATGCAGACCTGGAGCTGGACAAAACTGGGTTTAGGGGTAACAAACAGAACAAAGAAATAGTATCTAATACCCATAAAAGCAACTATATATTGCAAAAAAAAAAATCAGATGTAATGTGGAACTGCAAAGCAATGAAGAAAGAGACAGGTGTAGTTGTTTTACCAAACATACTAAAATGATCCCAGGTGGATCCTATAGTAAAGAAAAAAAAAATCATCAAGATGAACCTCATACTTCTGCTAGCAAAGGACTCCAGATGTTGACAACTTGCTGTAACACCCACCACTGCCAGAATAAAATCAGCAACCTTGGAACTGAGAGGAGTAAGAGAGGGATGAACATCACACCAAGAAGAGAGGCAGAAACCAAGAACTGAATGTATGACATTTTAACAGCATCATAATTCTTTTTTTTCCTGTAATAATTGCACCTGGACTAATAATGGTTAAACTTCCAAAAATTCAGTTACACTAAGAATAAATTCTTTGCTATATAAAGACATGCTGCCTTTTTGCCCTTAAACAAGGTTTTGAGTATAACACTTTGTATGGGCATGTAGTCCCTACATCACAGTAAATAAATCCAGATAAACACGTTGTTTTATTCTAAACAGGTGTTGCCAGTCTTCCCAGAACAAAGGAAAAAAAATCCATAAGCTCGTGTTTTTCTAAATAGTTAGCAGAAATACGATCACACACCCACACCTGACCCAGATCAAATCTGAATCATTGGGTGATCTAGCATTAACGATTCTGAAGCAATGGCCAAAAAACTACAAAGGCCAGATCCGTAAAGTGGAAGCATTTGTACAGAGCTAACTAAATTACTAGAACATCACCTTGAAGGGATTATGTACTCAAAAACTGCTAACACTTTTCTCCTCATCAAATATAACAGGATTTAGAAAGCAATGGAAAAGAATCCATGGAACAGAGCATCAAGAGAGAAACAAAGAAAAGAGCTACCTTGAAATCACTGGAAAATTACTGAGTGAGAACATTCTCTGGCAAAAGTAACTACAGATGGTAGGAAAGGGAAAAGCAAATACTTGAAAAGTTCCACTGATTTTTTTGTTGTTGTCTTTCACAGATTTTTTTCCTCAATTAGCTTCCAGTTACTAGGGCAATAAAAGAGCCAGATGTTTTTTCAGTTAAAAATGAAGATGGGGTAACTACTGTGACTGTCTCTCCCGTTCTCTCCCTTCCCTGGGTTATCCCAGACACCTCTACAAACCAAGCACTTCATTCCCTTCCTGTCACCCTCTTCCTCAGGGTGGAATGGGCTTCCCATGGACAAATAAAAAGACTTTTTCATGTGCTGTATTACAAATACACTTGTATGTAACACCTATATATAAAAGTGACCTCTGTTTCTGATACATTTCTAATGAATGCTTGTTTTTTTGTTTTCCTTGACTAAGCCTTCTGGTAAAATAGAAAATTCTGAGTTGGAAGGGACACACAAGGATCACGGAGTCCAACGCCTGAGTCAATATAAGCCCTCTGGTGTATGGATCAGGTCTCTTTTTACACTGGCTGATACCCTCAACACTGAGAAACCAGTAACAGTAAAGCAGGTCATCAGGAAAAGATTAATGAAAAAGAAGATGTGGACTATTGATTTGCTGAGCCATTCAAGAGGTATTATGACCTTTCCAAATGCAGTTATTGCCTTTGTATGTGAGGTATAAAAGAATTAGCAAAGGAAGGGAGACAACAAAACATCTGAAATAGGTGACAAAATATGTTTGAGACAGGTGTTAACCTATAACTGAAGTCATAGCAGGAGTACAATCTTGCAACAGATAGGAGCTGTGTAATCTGACATTGTCAGGTCATTTTCAATCTTAAAATTCAGGTTCTGTAACTGTGTCTCTATTGTAAATAGCCTGTAGTTAAGGAACTATGTGTACAACTCAGAACTGTCTAGCAAATAGACTGTTAGTCAACATAGCATTAGCATCTCTCTTCAGAAAAGGCAGTGCTTGCTGGGACCCAAGAGAGTCATGTTCTGAGCCTAACTTTACTCCTCACCAGCTGCCAGATCTTGCCTCATGTCTCTACCGCAGTTTTTCATCTCATCCTTAGACTTTCTCGCTCTTCGTCCAATCTCTCAGCAAGTAGTCTCAGCACTTGACTGCACATCCAACAGCTTAGTAAAATTATTCATCAGGCATTATTAAAAATAGAGTAGTCCTGGCTTAGGCACATTTAAATAGTTGGTCCCTGTCTGTTCAGCACAAAAATCATCACCATCTGTACAGGAGCTAAAACCATGGCACCGCAAATTCCCATGCGGCCTTTAAACAGCAATGTAACATTAATTACAACAATGAACAGGTGAGTGTCAGTTTTATTTTATATTCTCAAATGAAAAATATACTTAAAACCAAACATTTTTGTCATCAATAAAAAATGTTTTATTGAACAGTCAGGGCTGGGACAAAGAGACGTGCACATGTCTAACAGAGGAAAATGTTTAAGACTGAAGATCTTGCACCCCAAGACAAGTAGGAATAGTTTCTGCTGAATGAAGGAACAGAAACTTGCATTGCAAAGACTGCTACTTAAAACAGTTCCCCAATTCTTCAGAGGTAACGGTTTCTCTCCATAAGCACACTGTGTAAATTAAAAGCTCTAAACTCTTTCTTACTGAATGTTATTTTAATTATTTTCTGCCCCAAATCCTGAGACTCAAAAAAGATTCTTCTTGCTCTGCAAATCTATATGCAGGCAAAACTACTAGTTAGCTTCACAACCTACAGTACACAAAAAAACCCCAAAACCTATCTCAGAATGGGCTTCAGTTGCAACTGTTATAAATTATCACTTACATATTAAAATCAATGACAATGAGCCCATCTGGAGTCGCTAATTAGTTCTAGGCATAGTGTTAAGCTTCTTAGATGCAAAAACCAGTTTATTATCAACACTCAGCCAGCAACGTACTTGTCTTTAATGGTAACAACTCTCGAGAAATCCTGCTTCACACATACAAGAAATCAAATGCAAGCAATGTTCTCAAAGCCCACGAGGAAAACGACAGCTACTCGCATTTCACCAAACACCAGAACTGGCAAAAATCTTCCCTTTCAAACTCTAACTTCAATGACTCATCACAAAACAACTCAATCAGCAAAGCTCATACATCTGGTAGCAATGTGGTGCTACAGCAAAAGCCCTCCTTAGCCAACAGCTCACAGACTCCACTCCTTCCAGCATCACTCTCACCCGTGGGGAAAGAATTCCTTCAACATTGCCCTAAATCAGACCAGGTACTGACAGGGCCTTATTTGAGACAAGGGGGAGTTTATACCTCATGGAGTTATTGCTTCAACAGACCTTACTGCACTGATTTACACAGAGTTTGTGTTTTCAGAGTTATTCCTGAAAACATAAAGACAAGGAGCATGATTGTTCTCATATGCTTCAGTAAAAGTGCAATGCATAGGATCCATGATGTCTGCAGACCTTTGTGGATGATAACCACCAGCACAGAAGTGGTAACAAGCAACCAACATAGTGGTAACATCAAACATTGCTACAGTCATGCTGATGGTAAACATCTGCCCACTGCCTTACCTCTTTTTCTCATTTTATACCAAGGTTGAAATATCACTGACATCTCCTATAGCAGTTTCTTTACAGTACAATCACCTCCACACTTTTGCACAGGCAATATAAATTTACCTTCAGCAGATCTAACAGAAAGCATCTCAGGTATCTTATTGGACTGTGATATGCTTTTTCAGATAACATTTCTGAGGAATATAAAGAGAACTATGTTAAATCAGAAACTACAGCACATAACCACACAGACTATATGGACAAAATGCCTAATCACTTTTAATCAAAAGTAAATATCTGAAGTTTGACATCACTTTTTTCCTACAGTCATATGTTCTGCTAAAGTCATACATGGCTCTGACTTTCCTTTCACAAAAGGAAAAGATTATGATAGAATTCTGTTGGCTGTCCCTTTGAATTCCAAAGGTCAAAGGGTCCATATGCAACTTCAAATTTGGAAAAAAGAACAATACAAAAAATCCACCCACAAATTCATCTTAAGAGTGGTCTCAGAAGAAGTCTGAATAACTAGCACAACTGAAATGCGTTTATTACTCACTTGCCCAGGATCCTCAGGCCATTTTAGAGATATAAAAGCAGCCCATAACATCGAATAAAGCTTACTCTTCTGGACATACCTGTAATATAGCTCATTGAACATTAGAATCAGCGTTTTACCTCACTCCTTCTGTCTCACGGGTTGTTCCTGGACTGACAAGTGCAGATACACACAAACACTTCTTTCAAGCTGCTAGTTAAAGACCACCACAGCTCTTTTTAAGTAGTTGGCTCATGGTCATGTGTCTTCCATGAGAACAGGATGTAAGAAGAAAGTCCATCCTAAATACTGACCTTTGGAAACCATAGAGAGCTGCAGAACCCAATGCTGTGCCACCCAAACCTAGCACTGGGTGAGACAGCTGAGACTTGAAAAGCAGAATGGCTGTTTCAGCACAACTATGAAGGCAGCTGAGTTAATTAGCTGCGACCTGCTCATCTGAAACTAACTTGTATTTTCACATAGAGCTGCGGATTTTTTACCCTGTGCTATACTGTAAGTTTTTCAAACATTTTCCAGATGGGAGAGAAAGTAGATAACACTTGTTTAGTTATTCCCATATCTTCCTCAAGGCCCACAGGTATTGCACATTATTAGGGTCTATTAAAATATCAAAGCAACTTTCACGGTTGAATGCCATTAAATAAATAATGGCCAGTCTTCGCGAATGAAGATTTTGGGGAAAGGTCTTTTACCTTTCCAGCCTGCGCAATGGATTTTTTAGGTGAGACACAGCATGCGCTGAACTGAGCCCACTCTTTAATCCTAAGGTTCATCTGCCGGGGCCAAGCGCGCTTGGACAATGGCAGTGAGGTCCTCAGGACGTAGGTTTGTTTAGAGTGACCTTCTCATAGATGGATGGCCTCACAGGGCTAACGGGCTCCATCCGCCCGGGAGGACTGGGATTCGAACCTGGGTCGCAGCGGTGAGTCCCGCATGCTAACCACTAGGCCACCAGGGGTCCCTGAATGCCATTACTGCATTATTAAAAGACAAATAAACCTATATATGTTCTTCAAGGCACATATTCAAATGTGAGCAACCTTAAGTGTAAGTAAACTCTATCAAGCATGTCTTCTCGAGGAGTCAGATCTTAAGTATCTCTAGAAATATAACACTTAACTTCCAAGCTGGAGCTGAGAGAATCTAAGGAATGCACTGCTGTATGTATTTCATACTAGCACCCTTCCAAGTCTTCTAAATCTTGCATAAAACAATTCAGTAACTACAACTCAGTAAGGTTTCACATGGTTGGGTAACTGTGATTCTGGTATGAGTGACCTTCTACTCATTTCTTGGGTTTTGTTCCTTTTAAATAAAATGGATTATAAAAACTGATGACAGCATCCTCATGATCCACTGTGTTCCTCACATCATCCCCAAGGCTAACTTCTTCTTTTTAAACAAAATCACTTGGTGAAAATATGTCCCAGTCATAGGTTACAATTTGAAGTTGGTCAAGATATTAGATCACAAACACAGCATGAAAATAACTATATTTCAGTGCATACAAATAGTCCCATTAGCTTCAGAGGAATTGTTCTGATGCATAAAATCAGACTGCAATACAGTTTTAATGAAAAAAAGATTAAAATCGATCTACTGTCCAATTCACATAAAATTATTTATCTGTGCATAAGCATCACTAGATTTCCACAGGAATCTGATAATAAATATTCTGAAGATCACCAGGTATCTCTCATTATAAGAACCTGATTTTACTTTTTTATAATTTTGCCCTAATCTTCAACAAAATTTGCCCTAATCTTTCAACTAAAAAGTTTCACAGCACACACGAACTGAAGATGAGGGTTTTTTATTAATAATTACAGATGAAAAACATTCATCTATTTCAAACACCTGGCTAGAAAAAAATATATTTTGTTTGGATTACATAAAAAAAAAATTGACCAGCTTTCTTCTATGGGTTCTAGATGTTCAAGCAGAGACTTGAAATTCTGAAAGCTTTTGAGTAAGCTTTTTTATATCCCAAGAAATCTGTTAAAGTCTGGGCCTTTTCACAGCTTGGAGGACACAGCCTTGTGCATGCTCAACAGAAACAGATTTATCATCTCAATTTCCCAACAGTTCCGTCTGTGCAGGGCATGCTGCTGAGAGGCTGAACAGGAGCTTCCTTGTAGCCACTGGCTCTTCTGAGTTAAGCTCTCTCTAGTGTCCACAGGCCTCTTACAGTGACTGACCTCCACATGGCTCCAAGTTGCCTGAGCTGATGCAGAGGAAAAAAGAAGAATATGTTGGGTCAGTTAGGTAAGGGAGAAAGAGGCCTGTAGGCATCTAGCAGGGCACTGGTAAACTGCAGAAAGAAACCAATACAGAGAGCAGGGAACAGAAGAACTTGATGAAGAAGGGCGAAATAAGGATGGGGAGTCATGAAGGACTCAAGGACGAAGGAATCCAAGTGCAAGCTAGGCACTCCCTGTCTGGCGAGCAGCTGGGTAAAAGCCAAGCATGGAAGTATGGAGATGCTGGCAACAAAGTGGCCACTAGCACCATGGGATGTAGGAACAGAGGCAGAGCCAGGAGATCTGGGGAAGGATCTCATTACAGTGCTTCTGGAACCTGCATCCAGGTCTTAGCCCCCCAGCACAGGAAAGACATTGATGAGCTGGAGGGAGTTCAGGGAAGCAACACTGGGACAGTGGGGCTAGAGCAACCTGCCTATGAGGAGAAGCTGTGGGAGCCTGGAGCAGCCCCACTGCCTATGTGGAAGGTATGCAGGAGATGCTGATGGGCTGCCCAGAGAGGTTCTGTGCACTTCATCTTTGTAAGTTTTCGAGACCAGACTGGGTAAAAGCCAAAACCAGCCTGATCTGGTCTTAGAGCTGTCCCTGCTGTGAGCAGGAGGTTGGACTGAGGGATGCTGAGACCCTTCAGCCTGAGTTACCATGTAATCCTACAACTTGGGCATGGCAAGGACAGCCAGAATGGGACAGAACAACCTTTAGCAGCCATCCTGGCATCCCTGCTCTACCACAACACCCAGGGCCTCTCATGCCACAATCCATGCCAGTCTGTCAGTGTCCTCCCTACCACACCCTCCTCCATCAAACACATGGCCCAAGAGAAATGCGTTTTCAAGTCACAAAATTCAAATTTCAGCGATAGCCTGCAGAGGATGGGAGGAACACGAAGGTTTCCTTTCGGCTTCTGTGGCTTAAAGACCTTGAAAATTACACACATGGCATTAAAAGCCACTGAGACCACAAAATCAAGCTCTCAGAAAAAGCCATAAGGGCAAAACCACAAACGCTCAACAAACCACAGTAAATTTGTTCCTGAAGAAGCAGAGGACAAGGCCTGGCATGGGCAAGGCAGAGTGCGGGAAGGCAGCTACCAACCAACCGGGTGCCGTACCTGCCCTTCCAGCAGCGCCCACCTATGCTGCCGATCTCCCAAATCCCTTCACCGCAGGTACCCAGGTCAGGAGCACCGCCTTGGCTATGCAGGGATTTACCGAGAGCCTGGTGCGGGTGGCACCTCCTGCTCTGACTAAAGGCCTGGAAGAGAAACCGGCCGTGCCGCAGCCGAGCAGTGCCCACGCCTGCCTTCCTGCACCGCCACCCCACCGCCACCTCCAGCGCATGGACACTCCCGAGGCACCCTGCCGGGAGAAACCCGACCCCGGGGAAACTCCGGAGCCTCCGGCCCACGGAGGGAGAAAATGGCACCAGTTCCATCCCCTCGGTTTGCTTTCCCCTGCCGGCCCCTCCCTCTCCCCCCAGGCCCGGCGGTGGTCCCTGAGGGCCGAGCCCCGCGGCGCTGCGGCAGCGGCGGCGCGGCCCCGGCGCCCCGCGGGCGGGCGGTGACGGCTCTGCGGCGGCATTACCTGGACAGGGAGTCGCCGCTGGGCGGCCGCGCCGCCGCCGCCGCCCGCCCGGCGCCGAGGCTCTCGCAGCTGGAGCTCTCCTCCATGCCGGGCGGCGCGGGGCGGCCCCGCAGCGGGCGCTGTGTATCAGCGCAGCGGCCGGCGCCCCGCGGGCCGGCAGGCGGCCATGCTGGCCCGGCGTGCCGCGCGGGGGGCGGGCGGGGCGGGGCGGCCGAGGGGCCGAGACACCGCCCCGCCGGGCGGCGAACGGGGTAGTGTTGGCAGCGCCGCGGGGTTCGCTGTTCGCTGTGCCACTGGGCACAAAATGGGCCAGGATCTCCCTCTTTGTCCTCGTGAGAACCACGGGAAGGTGGCAGGTCCCGGGTTCCATCCCCGGAGCACGGTGGTCGCTCCCAAGAGCAAGGAGACGATCTCTCTCAAGGATACCCCTTGGGAGTCATCTCACCTGTGTTAGGTTTGCTTGCGGGATGCCCTGCTGGGACCCTCTCTTGTATTGGGTTGTGTACCCACAGTCGAAAGCAGCTGTGCTGCTGAAATTTTTAATTACCCATATCTGCTCAAGAATCCTCTTTGAGTTTATCCCTCTGCTGGATGGTGTGGGAGCTGTGGAATGTGGCAGGTCAAAATGACATGAGAATGCAGAGTGCTGGCACAGATCCTCTGTGAAGTTACCTGACTGCCAGCTCGAGTGCACACATGATGATCTGTGCCCAGGAGGCTTTGCAGGCACAGCTCGGTATGAAACGTTCTGCAGGAAGAGCCATGGTACGTTCAGTTCCCTGGAGCAATCGAGGAGCAAGAGAAAAGCTCTTGGCATTGCTTACAATGACTGAGGAACTGCACCTTAAGCCTCCCATACCAAGCGTGCAGATGTCTTTCAAATGCTCAGCTGTTTTGTCAAGAATTCCACAAGGCAAAAAATCTGAAATACTGGGGACATGTTAGGAGACAGGTGGCTTTCCACTGAGGCCTGGTTGTTGGTAAAAGCCATCCGATGTCAGGAGCATCAGTCCAAATGGATCTTCCTGTTTTAAATACCACCTCAAAACAGGATAAGCCCTGTATCTTCTAAACATCTGTACATTCTGTGGCTGTAAATGGTTACAGAAACATCATCCTATTTCATGCTCCAAGGAGTAAATTAGTTGATGTATTTCTCTCTGTTGTTTCCCATTTTGTTCCTGTCATCAGAGCGTGGCTCCAGAGCAGTTTAAGTCATGCAGAAGGTCGTGAACACGAGCAGGATGATGAAGTGGGTTTGCAGCAGCCCTGCCTGAGACTGCATGATGCAGCTGTGATATTGCCTCTATTGCTCTTTCCTTTAGTCTCTGTCAGCTGCTGTTGAACAAGGTTGATGTCGGATGGTTTTGAAGCTGGTTTAAACTTGAAAATACAAGTTGAAGCAGGGTTTATTTTTGTGTGTTTTATTGAATCATCTGAACAAAAAGTAAATAAATTGACAAATGATT